GCGGTGTCGCTGTCTGCCGACCCGCCGGAGGTCTGCCGCCGCAGACGGCCGTTTGGGGCGGCCCGCGCGCCGAGCGCACCTGCCAAAACGAGTCGACAGGGGCACTCAGTCACCCAGCACAGGCTATAGGACCGGCAGTGTGTCGTTACCTATGATTACATTTTCTGTTGAAAAATGTCGTAATTAATCCTGAATTGTCGTAGATTCGGCCCGAGACGGCTCAATGAGTTAAATGACTACGCATGCCGTACGCAGACAGCTCGGAAACATGCGCTATGCAGCCTTTAACCCGCGCCGGGCCGGGGGTGTTTGAACACCCCCCCCCCTGCGGTTTTTCGCAGATATCTAAAAAACGGCGGCGCGGAGCGCCGCCGTTTTTGGCACACCTGTTCGTGCATCTTTTCCGCACATGTTGTGAAAATTTCAGACCCAGGTCGCCCTAGGTCAGGTCACCAGGTCACGCCAAGTGACCTCACCTCAGAAAAAATAAGATTGCTCGTCATAGCTACACCGATTGATCAACACCTTAGATGTGTTCGGCTCGACGTTGCGGATCGACTGATATGCAACATGACCTTTTCCGGTCAGGTCATGATCTTGACCTGAAGTCAAATTTTCAAGTTGACCTTTCAAGGTCAACTTATAGTTCATTCGACGCGTCTCGACGAGAGGAACACGATGCTGGCAAAAGTAATGTCATGGCTCTTTTGAGTCAAAAGTTATTGCCGAAAAAACGCTTTTCGTAAAAACGGCTATATTTGGAGTTTTTGCCCTCTGGAGGCTAAACCGTTGACCTGAGGTCAAATCTGAGAACATTACTTAGAAAGGTCTGTTAAAGGGCTATCGAATGCGCTTTTCCACGGCGCTGTAGCTCTATCGGTTCCCGAGATAGCCGTTGGCAGTTTCCAAAATGTTGAAATAGTCAACATTTTGCCTTTGGTGACCTCTGGTGACCTGATCTTTGACCTGACCCAAAAAATGACTAAAGTGTTTTCGTCCTTATTTTAGACGTTCTTTCGATTGCCGCTTACAACGTGTCGCTACGTGGCCCAGGAGCCGAGTTAAAGGGGGGGGGGTGTTCAGACACCCCCCCCCCCCGGCCCGGCGCGGAATCTCAGAGCACCGGCCCGGCGCGGGTTAACGAGCGTGACCCAATAACGGAGCATGCACGCTGACGCACCACAGCGGACACGCAATGTGTAACTGAGCTCCGCCCACAGGCTACACTGCGCTCATGATGTCCTTGATACTCTGCTGCAAATTTACGATGACGCTGCAAGGGAAGCGACCCTCACCGAACCATCCCCAATTACGGAACGCTGCGCGTCATGCACCAAGGCAAAAACAGCAGCCTTCAGAGTCATCAGCGATATCCACTTTTCACAGTCGTGCTCAGATTGAGCTATTGAAAATCAAAGCCTATTTACTTCATTACCTACCGCACACTTCATGAGGTCGACTATTGGACTATGCGTTCCAATAGTCGAGACCGATGATGCGTTGCGGACATAACTACTTAGATACTTATATGGACCCACTTTGGGTCCGTAATTTAGTTCGGGCTGCTGATGCAATCGTCATACATGCTGCAGCGTTATGTATACACTCTGCACATGTGTTTCATCTAGCATCCGAGTGTCCGTACTCTGTAAGATATTTGTCTATTGTCCGACGCATATTTATCCAGCTATACATTTACGCAGTGGCAACATCGATACATTTGGTTCCTACCTTGTCGATGACCCTGGACGTTCCTAAGGATATAATACGCAGTCTCTCCCCGTCACCGGCGACTCATGGAGCGGCCGGTGGCCGGGGAACTTACCGCAGCAGACCAGCACCGCCAGCGCCAGTCCCAGCCGTTTCGGAGGGCGGCCCATGCTGACCAGCGACCCCTGCAGCAGCGCGCACACAGCACGGCACTGCCCGTGCAGCCGCGGCCCGCGGACGGGGCGGCGACGACCGGCCGGCGGCCCACGCTCCAAACCGGATACGGGCCGCCCGCCCCCTCCCCGACCTATGTATAAACTATCTGTGCGCCTCCTCCCTGACGTCAGCCCGGCAAACGACCTCCTCTGTGGGCCAAGGTGAGAGGACTGAGAGGACAGCGGGGGTCCTCCGACAGGGCCCGCTTTTATTCGCATCACAATACGGGGATCCAGGGCTATCTCCGGCTGAGACATCAGCGAACCGAACCGTCGGATTGGTGTAGGCAGTGGTGGTCTGGTATGTATCTACATGTGTATGTATATCCATGGTCTGTATATCCATGGGAGCTGTAGTGAAGAGGGGGAGGGATAAATTTGCACCTGAAGTATGGCCTGAAACTCTAGTAGTGCATCGTTTGCATCAGGCGGACGAGCTCTGTTGATTTGATTTAGAATAAGAGGTTTTGTAGATACATACCTAATACCTTACGCAACATACGTTGTAAAATACAGTTGAAGTTAAGACTTCGTGCAACGTAGCTGTGGTGTCGCGAGCTGCTCCCCCCTGCCCGGGGTCCTGGCGACGCCACTTGCTCCCCCCTGCCCGGGGGCCTGGCGACGCCACTGGCGGCGCCGGCGCGCAGACGCGGGGTTCGGGAGCAGTCGGCCGCCGGCCCACGCAAGGCTATAGAACTCCACGCTGGGCGCGGTTGCGGTAGTGGCGATCGGTGTTTGGCGCTCTGGGAGGTTTAAAGGGACCCTCCCACCTTAACATTAGTTTTGAGTTGAGATAGCCAAGTTTGCGGCCAGGCTCAGAAACCACCATTTATCCTGGTCGCAACCCCCGCAGCTTTATGGTGTTCAAGAAATTTCTTCCCTTTACTTGCAGGGTGGGACCAGCGTGGTCCCTACCTATCTCTTAACCATTACGGGAATCTGATGACGTCATCAGGCTTTCGAACGTCCGTTAAATGTTTGACTAAAACGTTTTGCAGCACGCGGTGGTATATGCTGCGTTGCGCGCAACAAATGCCGCACTTTTAAATAAAGTCGCTAGGAACAGCGGAGATTCCAAAAAGTAAACAAAAGTAAAAGTCTAATATCTTGAAAACCGGTGAATATTTTTCGGTGAAATTTGGTAGATATTCGTTTTTGCTCTTTCTGAACCGAGCGACATCACTTTCATGCCAATTCATAAACTTTTTTGAAGGTGGGAGGGTCCCTTTAACGCAATGCGGCTTTGGTTGTGAATAAAGAACTCACGTTATAACATCCTGGCGACAAGGATCAGATCAAGGTGAAGCCTTGGGGCTGTGATTGCGAGTGATGGCGAAACGGGCCAGTGATCAGTGCGCGGTGGTCAGCGAGGGCGGACAGGCCACGGACGGTGAGGGCGCAAACGTTGCTTAGTACGAATGCTTAGTGCTTAGTAGGGTAAGGTGCCTAATTAGCGACCCTTTCCGATTTGCGACCTACCTCCCTACAGAAAAACTGGCAGGAGAAAACGGGGTAAAAACATCGTCAAAAGGTCAGCCATACTTTGGTTATCAAATTAAATTATTTTCCGGTCGTCGATGTTTCTGGTGGGACGTTTCAGGTGAGTTTAAATAAAAATGACGAGTTTCTTATCCAAAACGTGTGTGTTTGGGTCCTCTCTGATGAAAAGCGATGCACTTTAGGATGATGCACCTTTTTTATTCTGAATCGACATTCCTTTTTTAATTGATTGCCGTTTTCGCATCGTGAATCGCTCAACTGTGCACAGCATGGCGGTTAAAAATGTGTTGCAACTCATATTTCCTATTTGCGCCTGACATGGTCGCAAATAGCTCAAGAAGGGAAAGAAATAGGAAAAGAGAGAAATGAAAATGAGGTGTTGCTGAAGCTTGCAATGTGTGGCAGGGGATGCCAAATGTCGTCACCGACTGCAGGGGTGCCGAATTCAGCGCGGACCTCGAATATCATGCAAGATAGCCCGCAAAATTTGGGTTTCCGCCTTCTTTTCGCCTTCGGTGCATCACGTGATCAGTTTTTACTTACGTAAATGTGTTGGATAAACGTTCCTGTTCGAGTGATCGAGTGCTTTGCGAATAGGTTACCTTTTTGAGATCATATTTCATCTATTCAGGCGTCGAATTTTTTGCCATTTTTAATATGGGGAAACCCATAGACTTATTAGCGACCCTCCCCGGTCGCTAATCGGGAAGAGTTCCCTATTAGCGTTTTTTGCAATGGTTTGCCAAAATGCTCACTACAAATAAGTTAGTAAATATTGGGGCAGAAAATGACTGTATTTTAATAGAAAAATGAACGATCTCTCCGAAAATCAAGCCAGTAGCACAGTGGCACCCACAGAGCGTGAGCAATGACGGTTCAAATTAAGGGGGTCGCTAATTAGGCACCTTACCCTATTGCTTAGTATTTTTATTTTTCGCGCTGCTGCTGGTAGTGTGCCTGTCGCGCGGCGGCCGTTGTCCTGGCAGGGTTTCCCATGTGATCGCCGAAATTCGTGGCGGCCATGATGCCTCGGCAGTGTGGTGTGCGTGGCGCATGCGTCGGCGTGCTGCACGCTGATTGGTCGGCCGGGGGTGACGCGCAGCTGTGGCAGCGCGTGTGATTGGCCGATCGGTGCGGCGGAGAGGGCCTCGATGCGGTTTGAGGCGCCTGGTCCCCGAAGCGGGTAATTTCGGCGGGAAGCTGGCGCGCGGCCGGGCGGTGCGGGACGAGTGCGCATGCGCGCGCGGTGACGTGCGTGTGACGTCACTACCACGTGACGCCCCCGTCGAGAAAAGCGCGGGAAACCGCAGCTGCAGCGCCAAGTACGGGCGCAGGGCGGCGCGGTGAGCGGTGGCCGGCCGGGTGAGCGGTGACCGGTCGGCGTGAGCGGTGACGGGTCGGCGTGAGCGTTGGCCGACCGGCGTGTGCGGTGACCGGCCGGTGTGAGCGGTGACGCCCGGCGGCGGGCCGACGGTGGAGCGGCGGCGGGCCGACGGTGGAGCGGCTGCGGGCCGACGGTGGAGCGGCGGCGAGCCGGCCGGAGGAACGACGCGCTGGTGAGAGCACGGCAGCGTGATGGATCCAACGGGCATGCAGCTGGTGTCTGCGGGGCCGTACCGGGCAGGCACGGACTTCGAGAAATGGCTGCGAGCGTTGGAGCGCTACATGGTCGCCATGGACATCCAAGGGCCTACCAGACGGTGCGCCGTGCTGCTACACCTGGTCGGGCCTGACATAGCCGATGTCAGCGACTCCCTGCCGGAAGAGGAGGCAGAAGGACCGGAGGAAGACGAGTTCACCCGGCTAAAAAGGAAGTTGGTACGGTACCTGGTGCCAAGGAATAACGTCGTGGCTGAGCGAGGGAAATTCCAAGGAATGACAATGGAGCCGGAGGAAAGCCTGGAGGAGTTCCTGGCCAGGCTACGGGCCCAAATCCTGCGCTGCGGCTACGAGCCGGCGCAGGTGAACCGGGAGCTGCGAGACCGCTGCGTCCTGGGCAGCCGAGGCGAGCTGCAGCGGAAGCTGGTGAGGGAAGCGGCGCTGAAGGGCGACGACCTCAACCTGGAGGATGTCCGGCGGACGGCACGCGCCCACCGGGACGTCATGGACCTGACGACGCGGCTGTCTGGGGCGCCGGCGCCGGCCGAGACGGACGGGGAGGCAGTTCACCTGGTGCGACGCCCGCAGCGGACGGAGAGGGTCAGGCCGACCGAGCCCCCGGGGCCAGGCACGTGCTTCCGCTGTGGCGGCCGGGGCCACTGGCGGCGCCACTGTCCCAGCGCGCAGTCGCGGCAGGCCGGCGCGCGGCCCCGGCAGGACGGTGCGCAGCCGCGGCAGGACGGCGCGCAGCCACGGCAGGACAGCGGGCAGTCGCGGCAGGCCGGCGCGCGGCCATGGCGGGCCGGCGCGCCGCGCTGCTATCGGTGCGGAGAGCGTGGGCATCTGCAGCGTGACTGCGGCAAACAGCGAACTGGCGTGAAGCTGGTTCAGGACGGCGACCAGGCTGACTGGCAAGTCAGCGCCGTGCAGCCAGCCGCAGCTGAGTGGGCGACGGTCAGGGTGAACGGCCAGGAGTTCACCATGCTGATCGACACTGGCTCGCCGGTGACTATAATCAGCGCGGAGACTCACATCCCCGGTCTGACGCTGCGGCCGAGTGAGCTGCACCTCACCTCATTCACCGGCCAGCAAATCCGTCTGCGAGGCGAGGCCGACGTCAACGTGGAGACGGACGGCCGAGCGACACGGCTGCGACTCGTCGTGTCCGACATGGGCTCTCACCGACCTCTCATGGGACGAGAGTGGATCAAGGCGCTGAGGACGGCGTCGGGTCTGGAGACGCTGAACGTGTGCCCGGTGGCGCCTCAGCCGACGCTGAAGGAGGTGATGGACAAACACCGTGAGGTGTTTAAAGAAGAACTGGGCAGAATCCCGGTGAAGGTGGCGCTCAGACTGAAGGAAGGCGCCAAACCGGTCTATCGACGCGCCAGACCGGTGCCGTTTGCGCTACAGCAAGATATCGAGCGGGAGCTCGACAAGTGGCTGGATCAAGGGATCGCCGAGAAGGTGCCTCCTGGACACTTCTCCGGATGGGGTACGCCGCTCGTACCCATCCCCAAGAAGGACGGCGTGCGGCTGTGCGCGGACTATCGGATCACGGTGAACCCGCAGCTGCAGCCTCTGAAGTATCCGATGCGCACGCCGGAGGAGCTATTCGCCAGCATCCGAGGGAAAAAGTTCTGCAAGCTGGACTGCAGGAACGCCTATCTCCAGTGCGAGCTGGACGAAGAGAGCCGAGAGATGACCACCGTGACCACACACCGTGGTGCGATGCGGATGAACCGTCTCCCGTACGGGATCAGCACCTGTGGAGCGCAGTTCCAGGCGATCATGGACCAGGTGCTGGATGGTCTTCCAGGAGTCGTCTGTTACCTGGACGACGTGCTGATCGGCGCCGACAGTGACCGTGAGCTGATGGACAGGCTGGACCGGGTGCTGGAGCGGCTGAAGGACAACGGCGTCCGCCTCAAGAAAGAGAAGTGCCAGTTCGGAGTCCGAGAAGTGGTGTATCTCGGTTGGCGACTGTCTGAGGCGGGTCTGCGCCCGGTGCAAGAGAAGACGGCGGCCGTCATAGCAGCACCTGACCCTCGGAACGTGCAGGAGCTGCGATCTCTGATCGGGTCAGTCAGCTATTATCAGCGGCTGCTGCCCAACCTGTCTACCGTGCTAGCGCCGCTCTACGCGCTACTGAAGACGGGCGTCAAATGGGCATGGACGGCGGAGTGCGCCGCGGCAGTGCGCCGTGTGAAGGACATGCTGTCCACGGCGCCGGTCCTGATGCGGTACGACCCCGTGCTGCCGCTGCGGCTCGTCACGGACGCCAGTGCGACAGGCGTCGGAGCGGCTCTGATGCAAGTGACGCCCGAGGGGCTCGAGAGGCCGGTACAGTACGCCTCCCGAACGCTCACTCCGACGGAGAGGAAGTACGCCCAGGTGGAGAGGGAAGCCGCAGCCGTCTCGTTCGGAGTGCGGCGGTTCCACCAGTTCCTGTTTGGTCGGCCGTTCACCCTGGTGGTCGACAACAGGACGCTCTCCAGGATCCTGAACCCGGACCGTGAGCTGCCCTCTCTGGCGGCGGCTCGCATGCAAAGGTATGCGCTGCAGCTCGCGGCGTACCAGTACAAGATCGAGCTGCGCCGGACGGAGGACATGAGGCTGGCGGACACGATGTCCCGTCTGTCGGTGCCGGACGAGGCGGAGAACCGGCTGTCGGCAGAAGAGGAGGCGGCGTACGGCGGAGGCGGCGTAATGTTCATCGCCGAACAGGGGCCGTGTCTGACCGCGCAGCAGATAGCAGTGGCCACGCGCCGAGACCCGGTGCTCGCCCGCGCTCTGGCGGCGGTGCGATCGGGCTGGCCGACGGTGGTGGACCCGGACCTGGCTCCCTTCAAGAATCGCCGAGAGGAGCTGACGACCGAGGCCGACTGTCTGCTCTGGGGCGGCCGAGTCGTCATCCCGAGCAACCTGCGCGACACCGTCAAGCGGGAGCTGCATGAGGGTCACTTCGGCTGCACTCGCATGAAGCAGCTGGCGAGGCGCTTTGTGTGGTGGCCGGGACTCGATGCTGAGCTGGAGGCGCTGGCTCGCGGGTGTCAGGCGTGCGTCTCAAAGCGAGCTGAGCCGCCGCAGGCGACACGGCACCCGTGGGAGCCGACGGACGGCCCGTGGCAGCGGGTGCACTCCGACTTTGCTGGGCCGATGCTGGGCCATTCCTTTTTGATAATGGTCGACAGCTACACAAAATGGATCGAAGCTGTGCCGATGAAGACGACGGCGGCCCGGACGGTGGCCGTGATGCGCGATATTTTCGCCCGTCTGGGACTGCCAGTGCAACTGGTGACCGACAACGGCCCGCAGTTCGCCAGTCAGGAGTTCGCGGCGTTTGTGCGGTCAAACGGCATTCGTCACACTCGTGTCGCGCCGCACCACCCCTCGTCCAACGGACTGGCGGAGAGAGCAGTCGGCACCGTCAAGAACGCGCTCCGAGTCTGCGCGGCGGCCGGTGGGGGAGTGGACCTCTCTCTGTCACGCGCGCTCCTGGCGTACAGAGTGACGCCCCACGCCGCGACTGGACGGACTCCCGCTGAGATGCTGTTCGGGCGGAACCTACGCACTCGGATGAACCTCATGGTTCCGAGCGCCGAGACAGCTCTGCAGGCGGCTCGGGACCGGCAGCGTGAGACGGCCGGCGGACGGAGCAGGGAATTCGCCGTGGGAGCTACAGTGTGGGCCCGCTCGTATGACGGTCGTCAGAAGTGGGTCCGCGGCACGGTGGTCGCCCGCCCCGGTCCCGTGTCGTATGAAGTGGACGTGGGACACGTGATCTGGTCGCGCCACGTTGACCAGCTGTTGGCGGCGGCGGCTGACCCAGGGAACAACGCCGGCGGTGACGTCAGAGCGGCCACCGGCGGTAGTGTCCGAGCGGCGACCAGCGGTGACGTCAGAGCGACGACCGGCGGTGACCGGGCTGGTGGCGCCGGCGGCAGCGCCGGGCGCCCTGTCGGAGACGATCGCGCCAATGGCCTCGGTGACGGCAGCCGCGCCGGCGTCGCCGGTCAGGCCTGTGACCGGGGAACAGTCGGCCTCGGCCGTGCCGGTGATGTCGGCGGCGGCGGTGATGCCGGTGACCCAGGCGGCGACGGCCGTGCCGGTGACCCCGGCGGCGGCGGTAGTGCCGGTGACCTCAGCGGCGGCGGTGATGTCGTCAGCGGCGGCGGTAGTGCCGGTGACCTCAGCGGCGGCGGTGATGTCGTCAGCGGCGGCGGTAGTGCCGGTGACCTCGGCGGCGGCGGTGATACCGGTGACCTCGGCGGCGGCGGTGATACCGGTGACCTCAGCGGCTACAGTCACACCGGCGGTGGCGGTGATGTCGGTGACGGCGGCGGCAGGGGCGGCGGGGACACTGAGGGCCCCTCGCAACGCCGTTCCGCTCGGCGCCGGAGGTGCCCGAGGCGACTGATCGCCGAGGTTTAAAATGTGTTTGTTTCCACGTTCCGACGCGTAATGTGGTTTAAAATGTGTTTGTTTCCACGTTCCGACGCGTAATGTGTTTGTTTCCACGTTCCGGTTTAAAATGTGTTCCGTTTTAAGGGCGGCAGGTTAAAGTGAATGTGTTCCGTTTTAAGGGCGGCAGGGTGTGGTGTCGCGAGCTGCTCCCCCCTGCCCGGGGTCCTGGCGACGCCACTTGCTCCCCCCTGCCCGGGGGCCTGGCGACGCCACTGGCGGCGCCGGCGCGCAGACGCGGGGTTCGGGAGCAGTCGGCCGCCGGCCCACGCTGGGCGCGGTTGCGGTAGTAGCGATCGGTGTTTGGCGCTCTGGGAAGTTTAACGCAATGCGGCTTTGGTTGTGAATAAAGAACTCACGTTATAACAGTAGCTTTCCCATTTTAACATATTTAACGTTCTGTTTTTTACCAATTTCTCAAGTGTAAACTATGACTCGTCTCATACCGTAGTTACCTATAACAAAAATAGGAGTTTTTATTGGCTTTTCTTCGTATAGGATTAGGTGTATTTACTTATAGTAGGTATGTGTGAGTGAGTGAGAATGATTTTACTTTAAGCATATCAAAGTGCAGCATAATCCATCTGGAGCAGAGCCTGAGGTGTATTCAACATTACATGCTCACAATAAAACATTGTATTCTGGTGCAGCTCACCCGGTTTATGGCAAGATGAACGTACATACATACGTATATCATATCAGTGTCTGTCTTTGGTATACAGAAACAATATATGCACTCATTTCTCGGTTCGGTTCCGTCTGTAGGCTGACCGAGCAATTCCGTGCGTGTAAAATAAACGAGCACACAATAATTGATACGCGCTGCGCCGTACATGGGAGACTGTTAGCTTCGGCACAGTGCCAAAACTGGAGCCTGAACGTTAATAAAGTCGATAGGAGAGGTATAAGGAGGATGAGGAGGAGGAGGAGGAGGAGCAGGAGGAGGAGGAGGAGGAGGAGGAGGGGAGGAGAGAGAGAGAGAGAGAGAGAGAGAGAGAGAGCTGCCTGCCTTTGGCGCACTCATCAGTCAGCACTCAGTCACGGCGGCATAATATTTGGACGCACTCATTCCTGCAATCAGCGAACAGCGATCAACACTGCGCTCTCTGCAGCATGCATGCACAGTCACATAAGAAATAGTACATACACCGAGGAGGCCAGCGCATGTAGGTAACAGCTCCGCTCGAATATCGCAGCGCATAGCCCGCGCATAGTAAGGCTCCCTAGACTTTGGTCATGAACCAAATAGTTAAAGGTGTCACATGTCACTCCCAAGTGCAAGTGGATGACTGCTCACTGCGCACTAATTACTTGGTAGCTATATGTTACGTGCGGATACAAAGAGCCAGACACAAAGACGCATAGGTGGTTACTTATTTAGGATGGATGATATTTAGGATGGCTCACGCATAGTTACATTTGAGAACTGCGAGCAAGGCAAACAAACACTTGAAGACTTTGAACTTCTGCCTGACACTTGGAATTGCTGTTAAGTACCGAACATTTTGGTTAGCGTTATGGATGATTCATAGCAGCCTCAATACCCAAAGTGTGCTGAACGTTGGGTCGATCGGTGCAAAAACTGCAGGAAGATCATATGGGTACCTACCTAGCCACAGTAAAACGGCTCAAAAGTGAGGCGACCGCGACGCGTAGATGACACACAACTTGGTCGGGAGCACACTCAAACTGTGTTTCCCATACGCCGAGATATCCCTTTAGCATTATCCTAGCCGTGCGGAAAACATTTGCACGTGATCTTTCCTGCACTGTTTTCCGGCACGGGTTGATGACCTACAGTTCTGGTGATTTTTTGATAAAAATCTTAAAAAAGGTGATTTCATAAATTGTGAGTTTCTGAATAGATATTAAACGACGTATGGGAAATATCTTACTGAACTTGCTCTGGGAAGAAAAATGGAAACCTCGGTCTTCAAAAAATCTCCGGCACTCGGCTACGCCTCGTGCCTACAATTTTTTAAAGACCTCGGTTTCCATTTTTCTTTCCCAGAGCCGTTCAGTAATATATATTCTGCTGTTCTTGATGACCCAGTTTCAGCATATCTGCAAGTTTACCAGTCACGAATACCTACATAAGCGTTTGCGCTGCAAAATGCGCGCGACAATGAAAGAAAATCGCGTAAACAGCATCTCTCACTTTGATCCACTTATCATACAAAACAGTGATGTGACTAAACAGAGTCAAGCTTTTGCCACCCGTCCGACCGTATCGTCCGTATATTTCATCTCGGTCGCTCCCCCTCCCTCCCCCCGCACACACATCTTCATCCCCGGCCCCGCCCACCCGAGACCCGACGCAAAGTTTCCCGACTGCACCGGTGGCGGCGCCACCGTCGCTCCATCAGCCAAACGTGCACTCCACGCAGAATTTGTCGGTGTAGACGTCCCACGTGTTGGGCTTGTGCGGGTTGTCCAGATCCTCTCTCATCAGGGTGAGTCTGTAATAGACGTATGCAAAAGTGTGGAAATGGAGCTGAAATTGTCTGTGCTTACAAGATTCGAAGTCGAACCGGACTGATACACGACCAACGAAATCAGGTGGGTGCCTACCTAAGCTTGTGTGAAATAATAATGTGCTATCACAGTTTTTCTTGTCGGTGATTCATGCGTGAGGAAGACGTATTTGAAATTACAAATATTGCTGTCTTGAAATCAATGTACCTACAAATGAGCGAGCCACTTATGCGGTCACTCATCTCTCACGCAGTTGTTTTTATATAAACCGTCTTATATAAACCGTCATGGGATTCAATTCTAAATAGGCACCGGTCCTATTCAGCGACTTAACGGGCGGCTATAAGGCGAAGTCGCGGCGAGCGGTCTGCGCATTTACCTGCTGTTTGTGATAAAGCCGGTGTGGAACCAGAAGTAGAACGCCACGTTTTCATAGCCTCGGGGCACGTTTCTCTGTAAACAGGATTGCGACAATGCAAAAGTAATGCCTCTGGAGCAACATTCTTGGGAGCGCTGTTCGCCAACGTATATATGTAATACTGATCAGCGCCCTTCTGGATGGAGCTGAGCTCCAGAATGTTTGGAAACATATAAATACTTGGTACGAAGTCTGCACATTTGGCATTTTATCGTCAGGCTAAAGGCCAGGCCACCAAAGGTCATCAACGGTCAGCATTTCCAGATTTGGACATTTTAGAAAAATCGGCCCATTACTCGTGAAATAATATAGCTCGACCACTGTAAAGCGCAACGCACATTCGACAGCTTATTTAGAGTTCGTTCGCTTATTTATTGTCATGTTTGACCAAATGTGTGCTTGACAGCCACACTTCGGCATGTAGGTAGTTTATTGGTAGCCGACAGTGCGGTAAAAAAAAAATTAGCATGCAATATTTATGTCGGCGGGAAGTTATCTGCAGCACCAGTGTGCGCCGTTCACGGAGCCGGCCGGTCGGCGCCGGCCGCCTTACCGAGGAGCATTTGAACTTTATCTGGACGTCTCCGGTGAGGACTGGACAGTCGGTCAGCGTGATGGTGGCCTCGTCCGACGACTTGTCGTACGCGTGCTGCAAAACGAGCCACTCGTCACATACCCCGGCCATAGACCGCTGCATACCTCTGCGTGTCTCTGTATACGGTGTCCAGAGGTCACTCCGGCACACGGCATACACCAGAGGAGGAGAACCAGCCAATACGAGTACATAATGCAATGCATAGAGCAATATCAGCGGTCTGCTCACGATGTCGGTAACCTCTCCGAAATGGCCCCCCGTCGTGCCGCGGGTACCGGCCCGGTCCACTTACGATGCAGCCGCGCCCGGTGGCGCAGCTGGCCTCGAAGAGGCGGCCGGCGCGGCTGGAGACCACCACGCTGAAGTCGCCGCCGTCGCCCCTGCCGACCGTGCTGAGGCCGCTCAGTCGCAGCTGCGTCAGCAGGCGCGGCGTCTCCGGCGGCAGGTGGTGACGGTTGTTCTTCATCCACTCGTAGTAGCCCACGTAGCGGCTCTGTGGGGCACGGACAGGGGACGAGGTCAGCCGTACTCTTCGGATGTTTGAAGTTCATTGCGCACAAAGCGAACAAAACGGTTTCTACTGACTTGCATGGTTAAAACGTTTCTTCAGTCCGTCCCAGTGTATTTTGGCGTGCGGTCGTTTAATTTCACCTTCCAGTCACTTCTTCTCACCGTCCCGTCGCTCCCTCTCACCGTCCGGTCGTTCCCCCTACCCCCGTGTGGTACTTGACAGCTCGGTCTCACCTGGCTGGGCGTCTCGACTCCCGGGTCTCACCTGGCTGGGCGTCTCGACTCCCCGTCTCACCTGGCTGGGCGTCTCGACTCCCCGTCTCACCTGGCTGGGCGTCTCGACTCCCGGTCTCACCTGGCTGGGCGTCTCGACTGCCCGGTCTCACCTGGCTGGGCGTCTCGACTCCCGGGTCTCACCTGGCTGGGCGTCTCGACTCCCCGGTCTCACCTGGCTGGGCGTCTCGACTCCCGGGTCTCACCTGGCTGGGCGTCTCGACTCCCCGGTCTCACCTGGCTGGGCGTCTCGACTCCCCGGTCTCACCTGGCTGGGCGTCTCGACTCCCGGGTCTCACCTGGCTGGGTGTCTCGACTCCCCGGTCTCACCTGGCTGGGCATCTCGACTCCCGGGTCTCACCTGGCTGGGCGTCTCGACTCCCCGGTCTCACCTGGCTGGGCGTCTCGACTCCCGGTCTCACCTGGCTGGGCGTCTCGACTCCCCGGTCTCACCTGGCTGGGCGTCTCGACTCCCGGGTCTCACCTGGCTGGGCGTCTCGACTCCCCGGTCTCACCTGGCTGGGCGTCTCGGCTCCCCGGTCTCACCTGGCTGGGCGTCTCGGCTCCCCGGTCTCACCTGGCTGGGCGTCTCGACTCCCCGGTCTCACCTGGCTGGGCGTCTCGACTCCCGGTCTCACCTGGCTGGGCGTCTCGACTCCCCGGTCTCACCTGGCTGGGCGTCTCGACTCCCTGGAACTTGCCGCCGACGTTGAGGTCGGTGCGCCGGCTGCCGAAGTAGTCTAGACTCTCGTCGGCCGTCGAGAAGAGGCCCGTCTCCACCATGTAGATGCAGATCATGGTGCCCGTCCGGCCCTTGCCACCCTTGCAGTGGACGGCCACCACGTTCTCGGCGTCAGCGTTCAGCCAGTTGATGACCGAGGTGGTAAAGTCCAGCATTTGTCTGCGGGGGACCGAGCGGCCGCAGCCGGCGGCCCGGATTAGATGCAGATGGTGCATTGAAGCAAATTCACAGTTTGGCAAGTGTATGCAGATTGATTAATGTGTACGCCGCTCGATACATTAGAGGCGTATATTTCATCACATCGAACATCTCACGATTCAACGAAAATTAGGTGTTTGATTTAGAAAATTCGAAGCGCATTGATACATCTATTTTCCTCTCAAAGTTGTCACGTGAATGGCTGCGCCGCGACAAATGGCCGCCGATCTGTGCGGTTAGAGCAGTGGTAACGCTCCGCTCCGCAGCGCCACTCACTGGAGCGTGGGCACGTTGTGGTCGTCTATCTTCACGTGCTGGACGCGCCCCTCGAAATAGGACGTGTCGTAGGTGCGCTCCGAACACAGGTTGTACAGCATGTATTTGCCCTTGTGCTGGGTATTGAAGAAGCGGCTCACCTCCTGTATGTGAGAGGGTGGGATCAGATTAAAGACATGCATCTTGCTACAACAAAACACCTACTAAATTAACAATCGTTGACTTGATACTCAAATTGTCAATCAAAACATCTATTGTAAGAAAAAGTAAATAAACAATTCGTTATTTACCATTCGATTGAGTTATACATTGCAAAAATTAGAGACAAAACATGTTGGATCTGTTGAAGGGATTTTTACTCCCTTACCGCTATTGGATTTCTGTAGACGGACATTTTTCCTGATGAAGGGAAGCTCATGGCAATAACCCGCTCCGTTACGTAGCATAGGTCCAGGTCAAAACCGTGCTCTTGGTATCTGCAAAAATAGACAAAATCTGTGCGGTGTGCATAACTGCATAGCATGCATGGAGTCTCGTGCTCTCGATAAATGCAATCACCACTCGACTCCTTTCCTTTCCGACTCCTTTATGTGTGTCTATCTCTCTTAAGTACGACCATGGATGAGATAATACTCTTAGAAGAGTATTAGGTATAAGAGTATTCTTATAAGAGTACCTATTATGAGATATATCTCATCCATGGTGCAACTAGAACTGACGATATCCTAATCAATCATAGATACATTGATCTTTCTTAATAAATATCTTGTTGATCTTGGGGCGTTCATACGGTTACATCAGACTGATAGCTGGGGAGGGGCATTGCTACTACTGTTGTATCGTCTGCGTTTTACTCGTACCTTCGTTTGTTTTCGGAGATGATTTGTCTGGCGGCGGTTTTCAGGTGGTCCTGCTGAGCGCAGATTCGCAGCAGCCGCATCACGCGGATTATCCGCAGCGACACCACGAGTCTGCGGAGACGGCGGGGCGGAGACGCGTCAGTACCGGGCACAACTACGTCATGGACACGCTCAGGTCAGTCCCGGGGTCACGGACACGCTCAGGTCAGTCCCGGGGTCACGGACACGCTCAGGTCAGTCCCGGGGTCACGGACACGCTCAGGGTGACACAGCTGTTGAATGTCGAGCAGTGATCAAGATGAATAAGCTCAACGTCTGCTACGAACTGATCCATCACAATCGAATGTGTGTTTTCCATTAAGTTGGCAGGAGCATGATTGAGATTGACAGGGAAGAGCAAATCACAATCAAGAGTTTTGTTTGACGGGAATGTCTCACTTTGATCCGTCGGTGGCTAAGTTCTCAACGGTCAGATCTAGCAGAGATGTAATGAAAGTGACGACGACGACGGCGAAGTCCAGGATGTTCCACCACGCATTGTGCCGTGTGAAGTTGAAAAAGTATTTTGGCCTGAAAAAGAACGTAAATCGGATTAGACGGATGAATGCCAGGGTCACCTGCAATGTTTGATGAAGCTTTTGGTGGTTACGAGCGAGCGAGCGCAGCGAGCGAAGCGAAGTCTTTTCAATATAACGGAAAAATCTCAGTATGAGCGGCCCGGCCCGGCCCGGCCCGGCCCGGCCCGGCCTGTAACGCTTTTGAGAGGCTTATATCTCAGCAACCGCTGGACCGAATGACCTGCGATCTTTTTTGCTGGGTAGCCCCATCCCTTCTACCCCGTAATTGACTACTTTTGATACATCTCAGTGACCGCCGTGGCACGTGCCACGTGAAAAGTCAAGGGTGTTCAAGCAGTTTTGCAAAAGTAATGATTTTGAGAGGCCCATATCTCAGCAGCGGCTTGAGCGATTGTCTTGCGGTCATTTTTATAGGGTAGCTGCATCCCTTCTACCAAAGGTCGTATACCCTTCATCTATGTGAGTGACCCCCACTGCTCGTGCAAAATACAACAATAAGAGGTGCCAAATTTGTTCCCATTTCAGTAACTCGGTAATTACTGGGGCGATTTCGCTGAAACTTGGCATACAGGTAGGCACCCACCAGGCAATGCATTCCCATGTGTTGCGGTTAGGGTGCTACTGCACGTGCGCACGTGCAGGGGGCGTTTCCAGATCTCGAGAACGGCTGGGCCGATTGCGCTCAAATTTGGTACACGGTTGGGGACCGGTTAGTAGGGTGCCGTGCAAAAGTCATTTTGGACCCCGTTTGCACGTGTGCACGTGCAGGATGCCGCTTCCAGATCTCAGGAACGGCTGGGCCGATTGCGTTCAAATTTGGTACACCGCTAGCGACCGGTTAGAAGGGTGCTTTGCACAAGCCCGTTGGAAGTACCCTCTCGCCCTTCCGCACGTGCAGGGCTCACTATCTCGCTCGCTCGTTCTTCGCCCAAAAGGCGTTTTACTGGTATATTGTTTGATGAAAGGACTGGACGAACGTAAATCATTTTAAATTTCCTGTAAGCGCAGTAATTATCAATCACCAATGACACAACTAAGCGTTACGTTACAGCTGTTAATGTTACAGTGGAACCGTTCTCGGAGTGTTGCTTATTTATTATCGTTTGTTAACCCTATTAGTGGCAGGGGGGGGGGGTTGTTTTCATCCACCCCTCAGGTTTTTCGGGAATATCTCCGAAACCGCTGAAGCTACGATGCTGAAATTTTCTGACTTTTCCTAAAACTAAATTGGGCACATTACCTGAAAATTTCAAGTTCATAACTTTACCAGGGGCGGCTCCAGAGCACTGGGAATTGGGGGGTCCTATTCGTGAAGCGAGTCATTTAGGCGAAGATCACGATGCTGCACCAGTTTTACGAACAGTGAATGAAAGGTATCATGTGATAACATATACAGTTATTGTGCATCCTCTTTTGACACGTTTTTGTTATAATAGGCGGATCCAGGCGTCCAAAAAGGGGGGTTATGTTTTACCTCCCAACATAGGTGCCCTGACACCGCCTATGCATGACCAATACAATTGTAGTCGTTCTCTCATAAGAAAATTGTAACATAACAAGACCATTACCACCCTTTTTAGAAACAGTACCAGCAAAAACCTTATTTACTATACTTTTTGTGTACCCCCAACCTCAATGATCTGTATCCGCCTATGATTTTTGAAAATGCATATTTTTAGGATCCATGTGAATTCCTGGTTCATTCTCTATCGATCGGCAAAAGTTGCGTTAAGATTGGTTCAGAAACCTGGCCGTGATAAACAGTCTAAAATGTATCTGCAATTTGCCCGTTTTTACCCCCCTCTACCCCCCTATTGACATTTTTTAATTTTTATTTTTTAGAAATGTAGATCACGTTGAGCGAAATCGAATGCCGTTTGAATTTTGAAAATCGGCCCGTTAGATCTTGACATATCAGGGGGGGGGGGGTCGTAAACAGCCCCCCCCCCCCTGCCACTAATAGGGGTAGCCAGGAGCCTGCCACTAATAGGGTTAAAAAGTGACGAAGACCAGAGTGAGACCGAATTTCCTGTGCGGATCCGGCTGCAAACTTGGCGAACATCCCATGCCACCATAATTCTGTATTCAGTTAGCTCTCTCGCTCTGAGCGGGCCGCTGCTGTCGATTTCCGTGGTCCTCGGTGCCCGTCCCTTGCCCGGGTCCTGGGTGGCTGCTCTCGGTCAGGGCAGTGCCGTTACCGAGGCCATTGTGCGGACGCCCCGCTCCTGGGCAGAGCGGGCCCGTATATTACCGCTGCTGGGCCCCCTGCCGACCCGGCTGTTTGATGGGGCGCCGGGGTGACGGCGGGCACCGGTGAAAAATGTAGGGGAGAAGCGCCTTCCACACACCCAAACTGGGGATCTACTTTGTCCTAGAGTAATCATCACATAAGGAACCTTGTGTGAAGAGTCCGATTTATCATTATCGACATCCACAAAAGATACATCAGCCAACGATGTATGTAACGAGGAGCAGGTTGAAATTAATCGTTTAAACCGACCGAAACGTTCTGAACTATAGAGCCGCTGTTTTCCTGGACTGCGCTGCAGTACACGGGACCCGCGGGACGAATGTAGGACGTGGTATTATGTAGTGCGTCCGAGCCCCGTCTCTTGGTGCGAGGCGAGCCTGAATGCAGTTACAATGCCGGCTCTTCGCCTACCGTATTGGATTGGATTACAAAACGTATTTGAGCCGGACGCAGCCTTTACGTGGTCGAATCGACAGACGTAAAAACGTTATCGGTGTGTTATAAATATATCGTCATGTTTGCCACATGATTTGTTGAACACCAAATAGGTATTCGCTCTGTGACCAAGTGCGCTTCCCAGTCAACGCTATTAGTTACACGAATTTCTGGCAAACTTGGGTAGCGTGAAATGCGTTCTACAGCCAGAGAAGTTATCAAGAGGAAGGAATTACCTCTGATGGACAAACAACTTGACCCCAGGATACGCAGGGCGATTTGTTAGGGATTTAACGATCGACCCGGAACAAGCTGTTGAGATCGATCAGCATTTGCTATTGGACTGCTGTGAATTGGACGAAGAGGACTGAGCTTGTAGCTACCACACATATCTCAGTAGAAGCGACAGTGAACCCGAGCAAAAAGGTAACATCACTGATGATTTCTGGTTTGCCGAATTAAGACGCTGAAAATATGAATGTAAGGTATACTTTTAAAGTTTTACACTCCTCAAATATTAACAGACAAATCGAATACGTACTTTAATTAATCATAATTAAGGTACGTATTCGATCTTTACATAATTATTCGTAATAAATTAAGATTTATTACGAAAGGATATGACGTACTAAAACAAGTGTGTAAATGCTGTGTAGTCCCTCGAAGTGAACCAATCCTTACCCGACACCGAAGATTCGGAGTGACACTTCAAGCAAGAAGAAACAGGAGAACGCGAAGCTGATGATGGCCAACTTGTGATCCAGGTGGCTTTTGAAGTTGGTCAGGTCGACGATGACTATGGAGATGTCGATCAGTATGAGGACGAGCACGAACAGACGGACGGCCAGATGCTCCACGGTGCGGCGGACCTTCCAGCGGATGTAGCTGCAAACAGGACCGTCAGCCGGCTCAGCCGCAGACACTTCGGTGGAACAGAGGCCCGAGTGGCTTATAACGCGTGATCGCATTACCGTAGTGGACAAACGTGTTCTGTTTGACACATGTTTAGCGCTTCTACACAAGGGAAGCCAATCCAATTAATTGCAACGTTAAAACATCTCAGTTCGATAAATTACATACATATGAGCCGCTCAGCTCGCTTAGAGCTCGCTGAGCGCGCCATGGCTGGTGACGGCTCTGCGCCACTCACTGAAAGTTGCAGCCCTTCTGAGCTCGCTGAGCGCGCCATGGCTGGTGACAGCTCGGCGCCACGCCACTCACTGAAAGTTGCAGCCTTTCTGCGGCGGTCGGGACGGGTCGGCGATCCGGCTCTTGTACTCTATCGTTGAAAAGTCGAACCCTCCGCCGTCCCCGAAGTATGCATCCTCCTCGGTGAAGTCCAGGTATTCGCTGGCGCGCCCCAGCAGCTGTGTGGAGCAGGGGCGGGGCTGGCACAAAGTTCCAACGACAAATCACCCGTGCAGCGTGGGTTCTGTGACCTCTGTGACACGGGTCCGTCCCGGATCTTGGTAGCTGGCGAGCCCTTTTGAACTCGCTCTGACCGTCGAAAAATGGACCAACTCGGCTGAAGATGACCTAAAGAAATGAATAAGGGAATATTTCTGGTGTAGTTCTGAATTGCAAAATGAATGTTCTGCAGCCATCGAAACAAATGAACATCATGAGTACTTTGTACCTGCCCTCCCTTTTTCTACACCGGCTGAGGAAAAAGGTGTACATACATCACCCGGATTATAGTGTAGACTCTGATGAATCCTGGGTGCCGTTCGCTGTAATTATCGGCCCCGGAGTCCGAGTGGCCTGTCTCCCGGACACCGGTCGATAGGAACACACACACGGACGCCGCGTGGTCTCCGGAGGCCCCACCCCACACCACACGGAGGGGAGACGGGCTCACCTCACTGATCTTCTTGGCGTTACCGCGGTACGGCTGGTCGGGCAGCACGTTGTGCTCCTCGGTCACGTTACAGCACGAGCTGACTCGGCGCGGCTTCGGAGCAGACAGATCCTGCACAGACGTCAACTGTTACTTGATGCGTACGCAGTCTGGGATGCTATAACTACTTCTGTAGGCTGGGTATGTGCATGGTTGTCGTACCTTACCCAAGATATTTAGGCCAAAACATTAAATAAAAGCTATAGACTTTCGTGCATGGCACAGAAGCGTCTAAACGTGCTACTGAGGAGCGCCGTATATGTCCGCCTCGCTATCCGCATTGACGTATTTAGGTATTCATACTTTCCAGAACTATTCCCGGCTGCCTCGTTTGTCGTCTCGTCACGACTTCAAACGCCTCCGCGCCACCGCCCGTCCCCCGGCTGAAAGTGATCGCACCCCCACCCATTACATCGCTCCCGCGTCAACACCCCTCTCCGCTGCTCTCTCCCTCCTCTCCCCTCTCACCTCGCCGAGCCCGGCGCCGTGCTGGCCGTTGGCGGTGTCGCCGTGCTCCTGGCTGCCGTTGCAGTACGAGCTGCACCGTCTCGAGAATGAGTTCTGACGGCCCGGCCGGGAACGGTAGCGTCAGCAGTCGGCATATGAGAGGGAAACAAAACTTTATGGGTAACTATGAGGCCCGATTTCGGGAGCAATGTGGCCATCGGTTTAAACAAGCAAAACAGTTTTCGTTGCAAGAGAAGTTTGAGCGCTGGAATATCTTTTGCAGGTAACTGTGTTCATTGTCTTCTGTATATCTTTTATGTTTTTTTTTTAGTGTATATCAGTAGTTCATACATGTGACGTGTCCAGCGGACAGCTGTCCCTGTCCCTGTCCCGGGAGTTGGGCTGTCCCCGTCCCGGGAGCGGGGCTGTCCCCGGTCCGATGGAGCCGTACCTGGACGGTGAGCGCGGCGCCGGTGGAGAGCCGCCGAGCCACCGGCGACGGCAGATGCAGGTCGGTCGGCGTCCGGGGCCCATCGCGGCTGTCGCTGCTCCCGTGACTCCTGAGACAAACGTGGCTCCGTGAGACAACGGAGCACCATCAGCGGATCATATAGACAACACAGTGAATCAATGAGACAGAGACGGACACAGTTTCGTGATCTTATGAGACGCTCTCATCGCTGGTCCATGATGTATTAGAGCACGGGACCCTGTGAGCTAATGAGACAAATAAAGCGCCGTTGTCGAGGAGCTTATTAGGCTGCCACTGCACAGTGTACAGTCGAGCACCACTACCAAACAGACACTCGAAAGCTCCGGAGACGTACAGCCGGTATATTTGTCCAGGCTCAGTGAGCTAACGAGCGCCGATCCGATCAGCCGATCAGCTTTGATTTCCCTTTTAACTTATCGAGTAGCCAGTAGCAGCGGAACACCTTCAATTAAGGGGGGGGTCACTGCCACTGACTTTTGGTTCCTTTCTTTCCATGCAACGCCCATAGGGCTAATGTTAAAATGCCAAAATCAAAGGGGGGCACGGTGCCCCGGTGCCCTCCCCGTTCCGCCGCCTATGCGAGTAGCAGCTCACGCGCGGTGTCAAACGCCATTGCCACGTCGTCCCGACCATATGCTGCACGCGCAGTGCCCAGTGCACTGCCTAAAGAACATGTCTCCACTCAACACTCTCTCCGACTGTTTTCTGTCGCTTATTTATTTGTTTATCGTTTTGTATTTCATCACTGCCAGGGTCGCTGGCGGCTCGTCGCAGCTTAGTTTACCGTCGCGTCATGGGTCGGGTGACCTTCGGACCCTGCAGTCACGCGTCACGTCACGCCGCATGTGAGTCACAGGTGGGTGACGCCTGTGACGGTCGGCGATAGGCTCAGCTGACTGGTGTGCACGGCTCTGATTTCAGAGCCGGACTCTGAAACACTCAGATCCGAGTAGTTTATAGTCTCCGCATGTTCGGAGTGTTTCGATTATAGGCAGATCCTGGTGATGCAGTCATCCGACGTAAGTACATAGGTGTTATATAGTCATATCCAGTATCCAGTTGGCTCAGATCCTAGTGATTCAGATGACTCAATGCGATGGAGTTAGGTGAGTTGACGCTGTTTGTTTCTGGGCGGCTCAACCCACCAATTAGGTGCCCAATATAAGACCTTGTTGGTTCAGATCCAGCGACGGGCTGCTGAGATCCACCGACGGGCTGCTGAGATCCAACGTCGGACGGCTCAGATCCAACGCCTCAGTGGCTCAGATCCAAGGCCGAGGTGATCCCCATCCAGGGTTTGAGTGGCACACACCGTTTAGATTACTACGGTTTTGATCCTGTCTGTCTGTATGCAGCCTGGTGGTCCATGAACTCTGGACTGCTCGATTTCTGCTCGCATTCTGCCGAGCGGACCGGTTTATTTAGCTGCAGCCGCCGGTCCGGTCCCGTTTACCAAACTGGGCTGGGTGTTGGCTCGGAATTCAAACAAGTCGCGTCGTGGTTAAACATTCACAAACGCGGCCAGATGGTCACATCTAGGGCTAGTGACGTGCCTCCGCTTCCGACGGATGTCAGCTTTATCGGCTCAACGAGATAGCTTCTGAGTCGTGATAGCTTTTGATAGCTTTAGATCGAAGGTCTTTCGATTATCAGTGTTCAGTGTTCGCTTTAAATAGCACTAAGGGGTTGAACTCCAAAGGCATGACATACCTGGATCCTGGCAATTAGCTTTTTGCGTTAGTAGAGGGAGAAACCGATGAACTGTGAGTCCATTCGGCTGCCCCTCACTCTGCTCACCTGTACAATATGTCGTTGTTGTGCGCCAGGTCCTTCAGCACTGTGGACGGCGGATGGGCGCCGCTGGGCACCGCTGTGCCGTTTGCCGATTTCACCTCCTTTCCCATTTAGTCGCCTTGTTAGACGCCCTTCACCAAAGGACAACTCTCTGCACCGTTCATTATTCAGGCCGATGGCGGTCGTGCACTCGCTCACACCAATGCTAGCACAGGCAAACAGCGCGTTTGGCCACTGTCACACGTCGATAGCGCCGGAGGCCATACGGGCGATACGAGTATAATCCGAGCTGGCGCGGCCGAGCCCCGCCCCCTGGGCCCCAGCTGTTCACTGGACCGGGAGCCGTCGGGACTCAGACCCAGGTCTCACCAGCGCTCACCGCCGTATCACCCAGCGACAGAGGCTGACAGCCGTGTCCCGCCAGGACCCGCCAGCGAGCGGGCGCCGCGACAGCGCCGAGCGGGCTCCGTAACAGCGCCCTTCCTGCGCCCTTCCACTTTTTGTCGACGGTTAGTCGGCGGCGGCGCCCGGTCCTCCGGCGGGAGACCGGCCGGCGCCGGCGATACACAAACGCTCCGGAGGCCGAGCGCACGCTGAATCAGCCCGCCGCCGCTGCTGAGCCCGGCGCTGCTCCGGCCGCCGCCGGACCGGTGATTCACGGCACAATGGACGCTGCCGTGACGCTCCTAGAACCGGTCGGGCGGTGAGCGCGCCTTCCTCCTGTGTCGACTGCGCCCCACAGGTGAGCCGTCCGTCACCTCAGGGCGCGCGGCTCACCTGCTCACTGCACACACACTCACACACACACACGGTTTGCCTCTCTGACTGAGCCGGAGAGGTCACTGGCCGTGTCTCCCGCCCTCCACACTCTATCGACACTGTTCCGGCCGTCCGGCTCACCCGGCATAGCGGACCCGTCACGTGACGTGTACCTACTACGTCACATCAGGGGGAGGGAGAGCCGCTGAGGTGTGCTGCGGCCCGCGCGGTATGTGGGCTACGTCCGGGGCGTGCTGCGGCCTACAGCTGAGATCTGGGACATACGCTGACCCGGCGCGGTTTTGGCGTGTGTGAGGCATGATTAGGCTGCATTATATAATGTTTGATCTCCAGATCTCCCCAGTATAACGCTTAGGTCGAGACGAGGCTGCTGGCCCGTGGATTTAAGTTCAAACCGCATAGCTGTGCCGCACAAAAGGCACACGCACATACGCTGACACCGACACGGGCTGCACTGACTGCCGTATCGGACACAATGCAGCCCGCCAGTGGGACAGCGCTCGGCAGCACTGCATTGTGGTCCAGTGCAGCACTGCATTGTACTCCACCGCCGCGCACGTAAACACATGCTGCTGCTCCTCCCCCTGCCTCCACTGTTCCTTCACTGATCACCGTTCCCCCTCCCTCCCCTCCCACCTCCCCGGTCTGACGCCCATAGGGACAGAGCGGTGACAGCGGAGCTGGCGCGTGGCGCGTGCTGTAATAGAGTGCACCGGACCGGTCCGGCGCGTGGCGCTACTGTAACAGAGCGTTCCGGGCCGGGCCGGGCCGGCGGCAGGCGTCACGTCACGGTGATCCATTGCTATGGCGGAGAGCACACTGTTTTATCGGCGAGCGGACAGCGCGGCCGGACCGTATGTTTCCCAGCACTGAGCAGCCGGCAGTTGTGACTCAGGGCTGGGACGCAATAGACTGAATGAAACGGCGACGGCGAGATGGGGCGAGTCGTACCCGTGGCCAAACTAAAACTCACGTATCAGTGCAGTGGGAACGGTGAGTTGTAGGACGAGTAGTTGTATGTATTCATGCGACGTATGGCATGGAGCTCCATCAGGCGACATGTGACGTGAACAATGCCTACTATATGTGGTATGTACGCGAGCTGCTCACAGATGGTGTGTGACGTCAGAAGCTGTACGAGAGAGGGAGAGGGAGAGAGAGGGAGAGGGAGATGTATAACCGTAGCGAATAAAGTGCCTGTATGTTATTGGTCTTCATGATTTGTTATGCTCAGATAGACGTACAGGGTGTCCCATAAGTTCGTTCTCACCTTTTATTTGCATGTAAAACATAGTACATTGCGTTTTGATATGTTTATAACCCCTCAATGTGCTCCCCATTTCATAGGCAAACACATGAATACATGCTGCGACATGCCAACCGGCATGTTTGGCAGCATAGCAGGCTTGAAGTTAGCGCAGACTGACTTGGCATGCGCCGTGAGCTCCTCAATGCTGGAACACCGCTTCGCTTCGACGAGCCTCGATTTCAATATTCCCAACACATTTTTATGAAATTTGGATCCGATGAGTTGCCTGGGATGTGATCTTGCCACACACGCCTATCACAGTCTCCTGGCACTGCTTTTATGCTTTGCTTGACCTCTGCACTGATGCACTGTCTTGCTTGAAGATGGGCCTACGACCTCCCGGATGCCATTTTCTACTAAAAAAATGTGGTCATACTTGCGGTTCAAGTTAAGCTAGAAAGCTGAAACTCCTCCTAGATCTTCTTGGAGAAGCATTCTGCGTCCCAAGACTGTTTCTGGAGCATCATTCGCAACGTGATCAGTGTCTGGACGCATATTGACCCACATTACCGTGACCCTGGCCTTTTGCATAGGAATAAAGCTGAATGACACAAAGGCCTTTTCCGTCGCCCATATGGGACCGTTTTGGGGTTTGGACGGGTGTTTTATCTCGAGCACGGACTAGGTAGTCCAGATGACCACATTGATGTCATCGACCCTCCAGTTTTTTTAGCCTCAGGCATAACGAAACACATGTTTGGCCATTTTAAGACGTTTTTGACTGTTTTGAGCCCTCCGGTAAGTAGAGCTTAAGTCACCTTGAGTTAGGTACCCCGAAATGATACTCTTAGACAGCTGGCAATACATCCTGAAAAGCCTGTTTACCAACTTTCTAACGCTAAGACCTTTTTGACGGCCATTTTGGCGCCACACAGTTTTGGCCACATGGCTCACTCGTGAAATCTGACAAAAAAGAGCATAAACTTGCAGCGATTGACTCCCGACAAATCATCGGCGTCACTTGTTGACTGTGCGTCCAGTTAGCGATAGACATTGGCTACATACTGTATGGCCTCAATCACCCTCAACCGTCGTGAATGGCCCAGTGCGGTCTAAATACCGAGACGTTCCCGTATCAGAGACCTCTATGTTGCGGCGTAAGCCGTCTCCAAAGGAAGTGAACTCTCTGGCAAAAAATATTTTGTCTAGACGAATTAGTTACCGTGGAGCACATTCACAGTTGCCATGGCAACCCCAAAAGCTCAGTTACAAAATAAATTAAGCGTGGCTTTAAATAAGAGAGCCTCTTAAAGAAAAATTTAGGTGAGAAGGAACTTATGGGACACCCTGTATGTAAGTACAAACGTGCGTGCCTATTTCCAGTAGCACCATTCGAGCTCGACGTTGTTTGACAGCTTTGCCTCTGAGATGTGGGGCAGCACAGCTCAGAATACTGCAGACCGTGCTGAGTGCTCACTGTTCAGTGTCCCTGTCAGGTTATTGAGTGTCATTCAGCATTGATCGACATCTGGCATCTCGATCGCCACCGATGTGACTGCCGCCGTCGATGGTGTTTTTAACTTGGACACTAATTTAGCTCATCCCCGGCTTTCAGGGAGACTTACTCACGGTCTCGTCGCCAAACCAGTTAATCCTTCCGGTAATATCTTTTTGCGCGTCTTTTTACTTCTGCGTTATAAATCAGAAGTAAGTTGTCCGTTAGTCCACAAACCTTGTTAGTAAGATTCGTATTGGTCTTTCAACATCGAAGCCCGAAGGCAATACATCTTCAAGCAGTCAACAAATTATATGTAGTATGCAAGTGGATCGTCGAGCGTCTGTCATATTTCCACTATAGAATTCGCTCCCTCAGTTTCGTATCGCGTTTAGTGCACTTGCCAGAAAGAAACATTCTAAAAAGTAAAAATACAAATGTGGGGTTTTTAACGCCTCCCCAGCAAGCAGCGGTTTAATGAATACATGCAATTTGATCACCTCAATATACCGTGCGGACCTGTCCGGAGGCTCACTGAGATTACAGATCCATCACTGTAATCCGTTAACCTTTACACTGAGTGTTATCACACACTGTAAAAAATATTGACGAGCTATGTGTCAAAACAAGGGTCTCGAAACAGTCACCAGGTTGTCAATGCTTCCGGTACCTACCACTTGACTAGTTACCGCTTAGTTAGCTTACAGGCTGAGAACTATCCAGATCGTTATGATCCGGTATTGTAATGATACCCTAGGTGTACCTTTGTTTTGAAATGCTGAATTAACTATCAAGGTTGTTTGACGTTTGTTTTCGCCTCAATCCGAAACGAGGAAGACCCTCATCAAATTATTAGGTGAAAGCCAGGCTCAGGATGATCAAAATACTAGGGGTAGTTTTGTCATAGTAATCTGTGAAGGGTGAGGAACAAGCCGTAGCAATGCACTCGTCACTAAACCAGCCTGAGATTATTCGCCAGGTAGCTGCTGCGTTTCCCTACTTGCTGAATCATGTTTGCAACTTTCCATTTCCAGACACTTTTTACGGCAAATAAATTGTTGGGTTATTTGGAAGGTGAATGACAATTTTATTTCTATAAGTCAATACATTTGTATTTCCGATTGCCCTAAAGCTTTTTTTTTAATCGTTTGCGGTAGGTTTTTATTGTTCGCAATAAAGTTGCGCACCTGTGAATCCTTCACTTAATGCGTTCCCGGCTTCCCGGCGCCAGTTGCGCTGTGCCGTGCCGCGTTCGGTTGGGGGTGCGCGTGTCTGTGCAGTGCGAGTGTTTATCACTGGGCAAACCTGTATCGTTTCCATTTGTGCAGTGTCTAGTTATGAAGAATTGCTTGCCGATATATGACCTGCAGTGATCGACGTTCTGATTCAATAACTTGCCATAAGCCATTATTCTCAACCAAATCGCGCAGAGACGTTTGCAAAGTTGTCGAGGGGGGGGGGGGGGAACAAGAGCGATTTTAAATGAATTGCTCTCCATGCAGATTGCAGTGCAATAGGACTTAGGTTTAATTTTTCGAAAGTTGTGGAGCCGCCCCCGGTGTCCGGCCTGGCCAACTCTCTCAAGAACCGACAGCTAACGGAACACTGAAGTTTCACTACGACGATTTCCGCCAAAGTTATGAAGAAAAGGCAAGTGCAAGAAGCAAAACTTCTCTTGGTAATCAAAACTTAGGTTTGGCAAATTCCAAACCCTAAGTCACTACAACTGTGGATATAAATAAGCTGGTTATTGACGGCCAAGCTCTGGCCAATCTGAGGTTCAGACCTATCATCAAGTTCATGAGGCAGCTGCGGTTGGGCGGCTCACGGGCTCCACTGCATAGGCTCAGACAGGTACTCTACAAAATGTCTTCTGTGTTCTTAGGTTCAGATCTATCGATAGGTATGTGCATGCTTCTGATTCGATTGATAACTGTAAACGGGCGCTGGAAGTGAAAGGTTCGCTTGATATACGAAAGGTGCATTGCAAGAAAGCACATTATTTCAGAAATACACTTTCATTTATCTTGAGCGTTTTTGGAATGGGCCGGATGAATTCGTCATCAAACTGGTAAGGGATTTCGTTTGAAGACCACCGATATTTAATAATATGATGGTCTTCAAACGAATTCGCTGGCAAATTCGATGACTGGATTGGGCGGCGTAGGATCTGCTGGTCATCTGACTATGGGTTGAGCAATACGTTAGTTTTGACCTAGTTTGAGCTTCATTCGTTAAGTAGGAACAAGACGATGCCTCTTTTGAGCATCGTCACTAAACAAGCCACCCTCGTTTTGACATTGTTTTTCGTTATTATTGTTACTAGGTACTTTGTTATCATACACAGCATTAACGA